TGAATCAATATAGCTGCTTGCCTTTCTAGACTCTCCTTGAGGACCTGATTATAGCCTATGGGAACCACCATAATGAGCACTGTCACTTCAAAACTAACCACTAAATACTGGATATTAATGATAAATATTAAACAATCTGTGGCTCATTGTCTTATCTGTGCTGACAAACTATGGTGCTGTAATTATTGGTAGCTTATCCAGCCAATGAGGGTCTCCATTAGCATTCATGGTGTTCTCCAGTTTGCGTATATGGACACACACACATACACACACGATTTAGCTCTATAGCCAGCCATGGGGAAAGATGGGTAACAGCAGGAGCCTTCACAAATTACATCCGCCCTGTCAACACACATTCTGTCAGTGTTCATATAATCTTCCTTTCCTTCTCACCTCCAAGGCAAGAGGGATGAAAAGCTGTGGGAGTAGAGAAGCTTTTGTATTTATGGACTTTGGAAGCAGCTGCAAAAAAATTGCTCCAAAGCAAAAATCATGTGTAATAAGTAAAGCTCTATGCAGGAAATTATTTCATTCAATCCTACAAGGGTAGCTTTGCCATTCAGTTAGTTAGTTGTGTGCCATCAAGTCAGAACTGACTTACAGTGACCCTAATAGGGCTTTCAAGGTAAATGAGATATTTAAGGAGCAGTTTTACCAGTTCTACTCTTTCAGTGAATATCCATGGCCAAGTGGGGATCAGAACCCTGTTCTCCAGATTTTTATTCTATCACTCTATCCACTGCACCACACTGGGTACCCATCATTCAGTAGGCTGGACAGCATTAGAGAGGATACTGCAGTTAAGAAGTAGGAATACTAAGAAATTGTCTTCTATTATATGGACACTAAAAGTCTGTTGTAATTCAAGGGCCAAACCTTTTCATAGTTCGGCCCTGACTTGTAATGAGTTCATCTTGGAAGCTGTTTTGGACTACAACTTCCAGAATGCTGTGGCTCAAGCCAATCAGCCCAAGAGAGTCTGAGAGTTATACTTCAGAAAAATAATTTTTTCCAACATTTGGAGTAACCCCCTCCTCCTCTAACAATCCTTTGTCCCTCATCCCCTAGCAACTCCACCATCTCCATTATTCCAAAGAGGTTTATTGGGGGGATTTTGGTATTTGTTTGGGAAATTGTTGTGTAAAGATTGTGGATAAAAATCAAAGTGATAAACAAGACAATCACTCGCAAACCATTATGGCCAGTACCCTATTCATTTTCGTAAACTGAAGTAGCTGCATGGCTGGAGTGCTCCATGATTCGCTCTCCTGCTCCCCAGTTTACAATTCTGTAAACCAGAGATTACCCCATAGCTTCATAACTTTCCTCTTGTGCAAATGGTTAGTGGGTATCTCTTTTCACAAACTACAGAAACACACAATCTCACGCATGCTTCTTCACCAACAGGATACTGAGTTATGTGTATAGATCAGAGCTTGAAACTTTAAAAATATACAGCTCCCAAAATCCCACAGCTCACATGACCATCAGGCATGCTGTCTGGAGTTCTGAGAATTCTAATCCAAAAAAGGTAATGTTCTCAGTTTCTGATTCAAACCAATGCCAGTCCTCACTAAATCAGCCAGTCGCTTCCATTTCATATCCCAGTTTATCAGGAGGTCAAGCCTTATTAGAATAATAGTGATGCTCAGGAAATATCCTGAGGAGAAGGATCCAAAACTCTGGTATCTTGATAGCATTGTGAAGATCCATGAAAACTGAATCCATGAAAACTGGATCTATGGATCTTTGTAACTTGATTGCTGCTGTGGAACAAACTATAGGAAGTGTTAAGATCCTTGGGTATTGTTATTAGTGACCTTTGTAGCTGGGATGTTGTTGCTGTCTTAAAGAAACTGATAAATTATAATATTTGCAGATACTATATAATATGCATAGTCAGAAACATGTCAAGTTCTTCCTACAGCTCATAGCTACCTACCTACACAGAGACAATACTATATGAAAACTGAATTAGTACTGCTTTTTCAAATAATGTTCCGGATGTCCCAGTGAAGCCAAACAGATGGTAATTTGAGTTGTTTTTTTAATGTTCTGTAGAGGGCACTTCCTGAAGACCCCATCCACCCAAAAGTACTGAGAGAACTTCCTCCCAGGAACCATTACAGTAGGCAATGAAGACCTAGAAGGAGGCTTTGAAGAAGCCCTCAGGATTATCCAGGTAATTGAAATTAAGGTATCTACAGGTGTGCGTTTATGGGCTGTGACTCCTAGAATTCTGCCTGGGTGATTCTTAGAGAGTTGTAGGATTTGGAAAACAACAACAAAAAGGGCATACCTTATTACTAACTCTTTTAGCCTCTGTTTGTAATAACACACCCAAAAATAATACTCCATGATGTGATCTCTGGTCCACCCTCAAACACACACATTTTGGAATAAATTTGCATAGTTTTACATTTACAAACATTGTTCCAACAAAAGATACTACATTCTCTACTTTGGCATGTTTCTTATTCTCTGGGACAGGTGTGGCAATGGGTTTCAAATTCATTTTAGGCCACTTTAGAACAAAGCTAAAGTGCATGCATGCTGTTTTAAATCTACTGTGTTTCTTACACCTAACTAGGAGCTTAAAAAGAAGGCTGCTGAGCATGCAGCAGTGAATGAAGTTGTTGATATAGATCGCTGAGGCACTGAAAGGGATGTCAAAATGAAATATGAATGTTCCTTCAACATCAGAATGATTAAAATAGAATGCACAGCTTTCAGTTGTTGGGTGACAAATGCACGGGAGAGCAGTGCAAACTGAATATCAGTGCTGTAATTTCTACAATATGCATGCTAGTGCTCAAGCCACACCCTTTTACCTGGATCAGCATTTGATCTGGATTCTTAGAAGTGAGCCCTTATTTCTGTCCCAATTATGACATGGGGTGCTAATGGTTGTGATTATTCAGGAATGATCTTAATGATGGATTCCTGTTCTTTTACTTTCTGTAATGAACAACTCTCGTCGTTTAGTCGTGTCTCACTCTTCGTGACCCCATGGGCCAGAGCACGCCAGGCCCTCCTATCTTCCACTGCTTCCCGGAGTTGGGTCAAATTCATGTTGGTTGCTTCGCAGCCCCTGTCCAGCCATCTCATCCTCTGTCGTCCCCTTCTCCTCTTGCTGTCACACTTTCCTAACATCAAGGTCTTTTCCAAGGAGTCTGCTCATGAGATGGCCAAAGTACTGGAGCCTCAGCTTCAGGATCTGTCCTTCCAGTAAGCACTCAGGGTTGATTTCCTTCAGAATTGATAGGTTTGTTCTCCTTGCAGTCCAGGAGACTCTCAAGAGCCTCCTCCAGCACCACAATTCAAAGGCATCAATTCTTCAGCAGTCTGCTTTCTTTATGGTCCAGCTCTCACTTCCATAGATCGTGACAGGAAAAACCATAGCTTTGACTATTCAGACTTTTGTTGGCAAGGTGATGTCTCTGTTCTTTAAGATGCTGTCAAAGTTTGCCATTGCTTTCCTACCAAGAAGCAGGCGTCTTTTAATTTCGTGGCTGCAACTCTAAAGTATGGTAAATATGATAATAAGCCTAGGAAAGGAAGGCACACTGTTCCTGGGGCAAACCGTATTCTCTGAGTGAAACCAGCTTTGCAGGGTAACATCATTCTTTCATTACTGCTAACAAAAGTCAAAACACCTTTTTCAGGTGTGGGTGTTTTCAGATGGAGGGCTCCTCATAATAGCAATTAGAAGGCACTGTGCAACTACTCCGTTCTTTTATCCTTAATGGGTTTTCTGCAGTCAGGAGAAAGACAGAAGAAACCATGAAAAAACAAGGTAGCACTAGGAATGAAGAATGATGTCATGTGATCCTCCAGTAAAATTCAGCAAACAAAGCAGGGTAAATGTATGATAAAAATGTCATTTGGACCTGTTCCTGATTGGCACAAGGTGAGCACCTGTAACAGCATCTCCAATTCCTAATTACATTTCCCCTTGTTTCTGTTTTCAGCAGGACAGGATCCCAACTGCTTGTTGTACTTTTAGAAGCTTAAACTCTGCCATCGATTCTGATGCCAACTTTGTTTTGATGCCTGAATTAAGGAAATCAAGCCCATTTGAAAATTTTAGTTACCATTTAATATTGGAAAAGGATAGTAGTTGGAAGATAAAATGCAGCCTTTGCGTGCAGGAAATGCCAGCTCCAGTCCCTGGCACCTCAGCAGAAATGATCTCAAGCGTCAGATGCATCCTGAAAGCGCCTTCTTTGATCACACTCAGATCTCGTTTAGGAAGTTGGGGTGGGGGAGCATTAGCTGTTTCTTGTGTACTTCCATCTTTCATGCCACTGAGGTCCCCTGCCTGGAAGTACTTCCCCCACGACCACCATACCATCGGAGGAGGATGCTACTGACAGGAAGCTTAGTATTTTTATCAGACATAAACTAAATTTGGTGCCCTTCACATTCTCCCAATGGTGCCAATCATATCTTCTGGAACCCTAAAACTAGGGATCTGCCCGGTGTGCCTGGCGAATGAAAGGATCACAACTTCTTTCTCTGTTGCCATGCTGGCGCTCCTGTGAGTCAGTGGGCGCCCTCCAGTTTCCCCTCGTTCTCTTGCAGGTGACACACTCAATTCAGCAGCCTGCTGCCACGCTGGAGTGCTTACACCCGCTCCAATCTCCGTGAAGAGGAAGAAGGCCTCTCCTTCGCACTTTAACGCAGGAAAGCCTCCAGGACTCGCCGCCCTCCCGTTTGCCCGCCACTCGCTTCCCTGAGGGGGCAGAGAGCATGAAATCGGCCGCGGGAGACTTGTAGGCTTCAACACCGCCCCGAGAGCGAGGAAGGACGCTTGAGGCTGCAGTTGACTGGAGACGCTCCTCCGCATCCCTCTTGACGCCCCGCCAGCCAGCCAGTCCGCCCCTTGCGTCTCTCTGGTTTTCATCTTTAGTACCCTCCTTCTCCCTGGACTCCCCCTCTCGCCATCTCTCTCCTCCTCCTCCTCCTCCTCCTCTCCTTCCCTCCTTCCAGCCCACGCGCCTTTCCTACCGGAGCGCGCGCCCTCCAGCGCCTGCTCTCGATCTTCCTCCTCTCCACCACCCCCTCGCGAGTGCGCGCGTCTCGGCGCGCGCGAGCACTCCTGCTCTTCGACTGCTTTGGACCGGCGGCAGCTGGGGAAAGTCTGAGAGAGAGAGACACACGCACAGAGAGAGATGCGCTTTCCGAGTCGGTTCCCGCCAGAGTCTTTCGCGGGTTCTTCCTGCTAAGGAACTGTTTTCTCTTCCACCCTCTCTTCCCCTCCTTCCCTCCCTCCCTCCCTCCCCGACTTGCTGGGCGAGCGTGTCAGGAGACCTCAACCTGGAAGAAGAGTCGTGTGGGTACGTTTAACCCCCCACCGCCACTTACTCGCCTGCCCACCCGCCGTTGAGGCGACGCGCAAGGCTTGCGAGGGAAATAAAGGAGAACGGCACCGCAAGGTTTAGTGGAAGAAGGGGGAGAAAAAAACCCGGGACGGTTTGGAAATGCTAGTCCTTCAGCGTGTGCTCCTCGCCGCTATCCAGCTCGTCTGCTTGGGCGGACTAGGTGAGTGTACGTGTGGCGTGGGACTACGGCAACTTTGCCTCCCCACCTCGGTCCCGTGCCCTCCTCCTCCTCCTCCTCCTCCTCCCGGTCTTGTCAGCCTCAAGGATAAGGATAGCCTCCCGTCGTGCGCCCTTCTTTTCTACCCCCACCCCGTTCTCTCTCTCCCTCCTTATTTCTCTCTCTCTCACACACGCACACGCGCACACACACACACATCCCGCGCTCGTGGTAGCAAAACGTGAGAAATATGCAAGACTTTGGGGTTGTAGCGCCTTGGGACATGTCATGTGGGGACAAGAACACCTAGAGCGAGAAGAGGCACCTGTTAGTGGTCCGGGACTTGTGCCGTTCTGTGACGAGCGGCAGCCTCGTGGAAATAAAGGGGCATTCCTTGAAGTCAAGGCGATCTGCCCCCCCCCCCGAGCTCTTAGCCGCCCTCCTGTTTCTGTTGATCGTTGTGTAGGGTTGCATCTGCTCACTTCCACACGGCCAACGCGCTAGCACGTTGGTCTGGAGGAGAGCTGGGTGGCTCATTTTACCTTCCTGTGCTACGAGGTTGTTAATTCAATTGCGTTACTATGAGCTGAGGAAAGCACGCAAGCCTTGCATGAGAAAGCAGGATGGCACAAGGTGGGGGGTGGCGGCATTTCAGTCTTTCTAAGCAGGCAGGATGAAACACTCATCTGCACACATGACATGAAAGAGAGAGAGAGGCCAGAGAGTGAGAAAGAATGAGAAATTGTTCAACTGAGTGTTGACAACAGGCATCAACCTGCCTATGCCAAGTGTGAGATTGTGCTGCATGTTCAGGCAGTTAGCACTGGATGCTGCTCAATCCACTTATGGGAAAGCTCTCTCCATTGAAAGGCAGTGGCATTTTGTCTCCAGTGTACAGTATTTAGGAATGGGATGTCAGACAGGGATGGGGTGGAAGCAAGGGAGGAGTTCCTCTGATTAACTGCATCAGATACAGATTTGTGTTTATGAGGGAAATGTTTATCATTAACAATCCATTCACTTTTTGGACATTTGTTCAAGTCTGATTTCCTCCCCTCTGACAGTGCAATTTACATAATCAAATTAATGTTGACGGCATTCACATTCATGTAATCAGTGTGTCTGTCCCTCCTCTGTAATTTGCTAGCAGTTTATAATAAGAATCAAAATTAAATTGATGGTGTTATGGTAAATAATCAGATTGCCGGATAAATACCATTTACTTGTAAGTAGAACAATCAATTGGGTGGTTATTTATATACGACACAATAATGTCTGTTGTATTACTAGCATTGTGCAGGAGCATACCGTTTCTTGTACAGCGAGTGAAAGTAAAAATATGCTGCAGTCATTTTTACTCAAGTCCAGTTTCGCAGCAGATAAAGTAGATATTAACCTATATTTTTATCCAATAGGTGGTGCTGCTTTTGGTACACTAAACCTTTGTTAATCATGAGGCTCAGTGTCTTACTCCAGACATGGAGAGGTTTCATTATAATAAACATGATTTATGGCATATGTAAAATTAATTTGAGTTTCCATTTTGAAGACTGCCAGAAGGACTTAATTCATAACATAACTGGTTCAAGAGAGGTTATGTTGGAATGATGCGGATAATGTAATCGTGCCTGCAATTCTTTGATAGCTGCTAATTTATTTATTTTTTTGCAAATGAGAACTTTCAAACAAAATTGGTAGAAATTCCATAAGGATACATTACTGAAGATTTTCAAAATATATCTTTAAGTGAAAAAAAAAGAGAGTCTAGCTTGTAATGCATGAATATATTGACTTAAGTGTACAATAATGGCACTGACAAGAACAATAGTTTCATTAGTTGTTATCTATTGTCTCTCCCTGAGCCATCATTCTCCTGGGATCTGGGGAGACCATACAAAGAGGTGGATTATGTAGTCTTAAAAGTAGTTTATTGTTGATCCTATGAAGCCAGACTACCATGTTTCCTTAATAATGTAATTGTTTCCCCATTTGAACAGACTGCTTTGCCAGTTGGCAGTCTTCATTTGGAAGTTTATTTGTCCTGCTACAGTTTGAAATGCTTGTTGCCTCCTGCTGCTTCAGATGCAGTGCTGATATTTTTTTATAACATTGGGTGAAATCCAGTTGCTTAGCATAGCCAGTTGCCCATTGCCCATTGAATCAGTGGGGATTTAGTGAGTCAACTCCTCTATAAGTTCCATTGATTCAAATGGACCTTTGCTAGTTGCAACTTGCTATGCTAAAGTAAGTCACAATGAAAGTTGGCTCATTTGAATCAGTGGCATATATAGAAGAGTTAACTGATCAAATTCCCATGGATTCAGTGGGTCTGCTTTGATGCAACTTGCTATGCTGAGCAACAGGATTTCAGCCATTGGATCTTGTATCATATCAAATTTTAATTCAAAACTTCTTGAGGAAATATTTTCATTAATGGGCATGATGAAGTACACACAAATCACACAATAATCTCAGCATCCAGAATGATGATTCTAAAGACTCTGGTGATTCATATCATGAAAGGATATATGTAAAACCAGGCCAAAAACTGCCACAAAAACATTGTCAACTTTGTTTCTATTAAGTGTCCTGACTATTTATTTTTCTTTGATAGAAGATTATGTCTAATGTATTTGTCTGTAGGCTTATTCTTACTGATTTCTTTGCATCCAACTATGCTGCTAAAGGGATGTGTAGATGTTCTAAAGGGAATTACAAGGTGTTCTAAAGCGCATCCTAATTGGTCTCCTACCTTTCTCATCTGAGTATCTAGAAAGCATTGCCTTAGTGCATGTTCATGGCCAGTAGTAACTCAATATTCTTTTTATGTTTTCTATGTTTATTTCTTTTTATTGAGACCATTGGGACCTATTTAGTGAATTGTGACCAAATAAAAATGAAGGGTGAATTAAGCTTGAAACGAGGGGTGAACGAGGGGTCAAGAATGATATAAAGGACATGATTGGTTCAATCCATGAATAGCTTTGATTTTAGATTCAAATGACTAATATGTACAGAGTTCTGTAAATGAAACTGTCTATGAAATCCATTGAAAGTTACTGAAATGTTACTTGAAATTCCCCAATGGAAATAATGTGCAGATAAACTGAATAAATAAGGGAACAGTTTAGCTTTCAGCTTTTCGCGTACTGTGAAAACAATAAGTTTACAGTTGTTTACTTTAAAGTGTTTTAATCACTTACAATCCAGTTACAATAAAGTTGTGCCAAAATATTGGATTTCAGCCTGTTTAGGGACATTTACTGCATTTGGACTAAAAAGAACTTAAATAGTGTGATAGTATTCTGTTTTGTCTTTTTGTCTGACATAGTTCCCCTGGAGACTGTGGTGTTACTGAGAAGTAATTAGTCTGAGTACTGTCATCTTAGAAAGTCTTGTTTTCCTTCTTTCTTTACTTGTCATTTAAATGGTCAGTTCCCACTGTGGTTGCTCTAATTAGGAATTTAAGGGTGAGAAGGTTCAGCTCTTTTTGCTGACAATTTCAATTCCTCTTGAAACAGTGTTTTTCAAGTTTTCTTTCAAAAACTTGGAAGTCTGAGTTGGTTCCGGATCTCCAGCACCACAGTTTAGAGATTAATTCTTATAATTTCAGGAACCCAGTATGACACATCTTTTGGCAAATGTAGTCATTTCTCAAGCCAAATAACAGTTTGAATATCAGGAAAACATAATTCAACAGGAAGAAAGCATTTAAGTGCATTGAAAATTTACCTATCATTTTATAGGCTATCATTGTATGGGCCATACTTTTAAAAAAAATCCTGCCAATATATGTGACATCTTTATATCTAAAAGTTTCTGAAGTGCTTTTGGGACATATACTGTCCCCCTGTGCTCCCATTTAATACAAATTTATAGGTGCCAATGAGTTTGCTCTACAGAAAATGTGAAGGAGACTGGAAGAGTGTGTTTCTGAGTTATCTCCAGTGAAGTGAATAGGATTATACTCAAGTCCTATATTTAAATATTATATCCTACACACTTTTTAAAAGGAAAATTGGGGTACAGCTTCTTTCCTTCAGAGGGATCCAAAGAGCTTTTTGGATTATTCTGTTTACTTCTCTTTTGTGACTGCAGAAGATTTGTTTCCTTAATTAATATACAGTTCTATTTATGCAGCATTTACCTCCTACTAGTGTTAATTTCAGATATGTGAGTTAATGTGTGAAATCTACAAGGAAAAATATATATGCACAAGAAGGTGTGTGAAAATAGCCAGAAACAATAAAATTGCTCAGCTAATGAATTTTCACGTGACTATATCAAACATAAAGTAATCAGATTGAAGCTCAGGGCATCAATTAGGACACCATATTTTGATTTAAATAAGTTACATCCAGGCCAAAATTTGATTAAAGAGAGGTCTACATCAGGGAAACCAAATGGCCCTCCAGCTGTTTTTTCTTTCATCTTCCAGATGCCTTATTATGTTGGAGAATTTCAACAAAAAGGACAGGATTTTAAGGGCTTCTGATTGAAGTAGTTATAATAATGTTACTACAAAAATTTTGATAAATGCCCAAAACATTTCAAATGCATTACATCAGTGACATTCATGCCATAAAGTTGGCCAGTTCATATTATGTGCTACCATACAAATGGGCATTAAGTAAAAATCTCACAGCTTACGTAAGGCCACCTAAAAGGCAGTCTTCCCTGGCTTACCACTCATTCTTAATCACAATTACTCTCTAGTTCTCAAAGAATAGGAACTCCTGTCAGGGGCACCTTGCTGTTGGCAGATTGCTGAGTGTTCCACTTTTTAATTCTGGGAGCACATACGCTGTCCACACAGAAAAAAACAAGTATGGAAATGATCATCCCTGTAATAAATCATTATAGAGCAGGACCAGGATGTCCTCAGACTACAATCCCATCAACTGCAGCCAGGGACGGTGAGATTTTTAACTCCATAACATCTAGAAAGCCACACCTGTCCCATCAGCTGCTTTAGATGTTGCAACTACAGTACTTCCAAGTAC